AAAATAGGTGCTATTCCTCGCGATGTAAGAGCCATCCCTACGGATCTACGATTGGAGTGGGGAGGTATGAGATAGGTCTTGGGTTACCCCAATCTATATATATATATATATATACGCACATATACATATATATACATATATATATATATATATATATATATATATTTGGGTGTGTGCGTGTACATGTACATATACACATGTATATGGTTATTCATATATATGTACAATCTCTTTATACGCTTGATAGACATACAGCAGACTATAGTGTTACATGTTCATGCTTTCCATTTCTATACGTATGCACTCGTGCTCACACTCTCATCTATTCGGCAGAGGAACCGCCACCGGTACGACCAAAACCCTCGGCAGCACCCAAACCCAAGCCAAAGAAAAATCTCAAAGCCAAATCTCCACAGCTCAATACAGAAGCACTCATACGCCTATCGAGGCACAGATACCCTCTGCAGCTCAGACCCATGTCTGTTGCCAGAACACGGGCCCAGGACGCGCCTGTGTGTTGTCTATGTGAACGCAGAAGCTTGAAGGACGCTAGAGTGTTTAATGCTGCGGCGGAGGGGACCGCTGGAAACAGTGGTGGTGGTGGCATCACGCGTGGGGTGTGTGGCAGTGAAGTGTTGGGCAATTGTGGTACGGGTCTAGGCACAAGCACGGAGACGGACAGAGAGAGAGCTCAGGGCACAGCCATGGATGTGGACGGGGCGTATGTGGCGGTGACTGGTAGTAACATGGATAGGGATACAGCAGACCCCATAGATCCTGAGGGAGCCGGTACCAATGCACCCGAAAGTGCACAGAAAAGGACACTCGGGGCTGAACAGGAAGCAGTGCCGATGGGCAGAGACAGCAGTGATGAAGACGTTCCCTTAGTCCCAGCAGCATCCAGACGTCACAACAACACACGACACCCCTCCCCCCACCACAGCCACACAGCCACACCCTCACCCCCTCCCCATCACACGCCGCAGAGTGCCCCAGACCCCATGTTTGGCGATCTTATGATGTACCTGGACTCCTCCAGCCGTCAGAAGATCGAGGGTGGCTTCGACATTTGTGGCAAGACATCAGCGCTGTACGCGCATGTGAGCTGCGCCCTGTTCTCCGCTGGCGTGAAAGTGGCGTCTGACGGGTCTATGTGTGACTTCAATCAGCTGACACTGCTTACGGCCGGGGTGGGGGCGGTGGTTGCAGGTGAGAAGGGGCCCGGTGGGGACAGTGGGTGTGTGAGTGGCTGGCACTCGAGTAGTGGTACGCCTGGGCGAGACGGAGGTGCAGACGGGATACGGTACAAAATCCCGGGACAGGCCCATTCTCACGCGGAAAGAGGTGCATGCGCTGAGGGGGACATCTCGGCCCAGCCGAGTGTGGGGGTGGTCCGATACGCCAACACGTGGTCTCGCCAAGATCAGTTGGTGGAGGCAAGCACGTGCTCCCACTGCCAGCAACAAAACGCCACGGTGGTCTGTGCGGAGCCGGGTTGCGATGTTCGGTACCATTTCCGGTGTCTGTCTGGTGCGTCGGCTGTGTGTGTGGACGCGGGGCCGGTGGCTGTGCCACGCGAGCGCAGGAAGGTGTACTGTCACGCGCATACGATACGTCTTCGTAGCGCAGGAGACCAGACACCGTGTGTTCAGCTGGAGTGTATGGTGTGCCACACAGACGCCAGCGGCAGTACGTTTAGGGGTAGTACGGCGACTGGGGCAGAGGGTAGTGTAGGTGTAGCTACGGTAGATGGGGATAGGCACGTGGGCTTGCCTATGGTACAGTGCCACTCGTGTGCGAGGCGTGCGCACAGGAAATGTGTACCTGGTCTGGGGCAGACGGTCCTGAAATTGCCACGTCAGGACAGTCCAGGTGCCAGGCACGTGACATATCGCGAGCGTCATGTACACACACCCAGAGATGCCGAGAGAAATATGCTTGGCGTTGTTGTGAGCGGGGATGATGTTTCGGTGGATGTTGTGAGTGTGTCGGATGGTGTCATGAGTGGAACAGCTGCGGTGCTAGAAAAACCTGGTTTAAGTACACCCACAAGCATCAGTGGCCCTGTTGGTACGAAGCTGGATATTACGGATACGGATATGGATATGGATACCATTGCGGACTCTACTGCGCATGCAGCAGGCTATGGCACACGAAGTGCTGAAGCAGCGAAAGAGACCAATGGGCAGGCCAGTGCCACAACCATGGCCACAGGTGAGGTACAGGCAACGGCACATGCGCAACAGACCGACACACCGATGGATTTGCGAACTACAGTGGATTCAGAGAAGGCGCAGGTCAGTGTAGCTGCAGAGAACATGCAGGTCAGTGTAGATACTCGGGCAACCACGGACAGTGTTGGTCTGAAGAGCTCGGATGCACACTCGCGTAGCAGAATGGATGTGTGCGCGAAGGAAGGCACAGACGGGGCATCACGGGCCGATACAGCGGTATATATGCAAGAGACTCTGTGGTTCTGTGACGACTGCCAGAGATGTGCGGAGTGCATGTCAGTACATGACAAGAGCGATGAGACCCCCACGTTCCACTGTACTGTGTGTCAGGCAGCGTACCACATAGGTTGCTTGAATGGGGTGGGTGCACGGTTGTACCACGTATTCCCGGATGTTCCGTTCACCTGTAATGACTGTGTGAGGTGCAGCGAGTGCTTCTTCGACACTCCGGGAGAGAACAAGGACGACCAGTGGTTTGTGGGAGCCCTGGGCCGAGTGCTGTGTCGGGTGTGTCAGCTACTGAAGGTAAGCAACGGGTTAATTGGAAGTATCAGTATGTCTATTTATT